AGACCTGAGACTTGAAGCCACACAGCCTGGCTCTGCACATGTCGGGGCTGAAGTGCAAGGCCAGGCTAGTGTTCTCAGACAAGGTTGGCAGGGGCCACCAAGCCGTAGAATGATAGTCTCAGCCGCAAGTCTTGGGGCACAGCAGGAAAATAGTGTCCTAAGTCTCTGTCTTAGGGTAAGGAAGTGCTTCTGGTCAGCAGGTAATGTAGCCAGGTGTACCGGAAGCTTCTGGTTGGAGATTTTGATGTGGGAAGAACTCAGGGACAGCCCTGGGGTGCCCAGGCACTGCATCAGGCTGCCCTGCCTAACGGGCACATCGGCCATACACTGGCCCTCGGCAGGTCTTTGCCCGGCTCCTCCTGTGTGCCGGGGTCTGTGCGGCAGGGGTTGGGGGTGCCCCCCGCCCTCAGGAGCTTCCCTTTTGCGCGTGGGTGCAGATCTACCCTCCACCCTGGATCCCTGGCTCCTGGGGAAGGGAAGGAATGGCACATACGTGGAAGGGCTCCCCAAGAATGAAGTAGGAGGGAAAGGAGACGATGCCTATGGTGGAGAAGGGCCCCAAATCCTGACATCATAGGCTCTTGGAGCCGAGGAGAAAGGCCCATGCATGGGGGAGGGGTGGTAGCAAGAGGTCAGTAGGCCCGTGGACTTGCCGCTCGGCAGTTCAGGACACAGACCAGCTTGGATGGGACTGACTGAGGAAATTGCCCAGGAAGGCAGGGCACCCAGGCCTCACATGCACCTGCAGTGGGGACATCCTCCCTGGCAGCCCACACCACCTGTGCCCATGGAGGGGGCTCACCTCCTTTGTCTCTGCTGAGGGTGACTTTGGAGCCCCAATTCCAGAAGCAGAAGGCTTAGGGGACAGTGATCTCAGCCATCCAGGAGACCACCAAGTCTTGGGCTCACACAAGGAAAGGAACAAAAAGATTCCCTTGGTGCATATGAGCAGGGAGAAAGGAGGTTTGTTGTTTGGGAGGGTTGAGTTGGCAGTGGGCACAGCACACTTCAGTGTAGAAAAACAGGCTGGTCGCAAAGGGAACTTGGAAAATCCTTGGCGAGCTGCCTGCTTCCAAGCTACGCTGTTCCTCGAGGCATGTCCCCATGTTGTCCAATGACAATAAAATCCCTGGCCCCAGCCCAGGCCCATCCTGGGAAACCCTGTCCTGGGAAGACTGGCTGTCGTCCGAGGCCCAGCCTTCCAGGCACTTCCTTGGCCTACTGGAACTGTGCTTGGCTTGGGGGGTGGACCTGGGGTGGTTAGTTCGGGAAGCGTTGTGATGAGATGTGGGAACCAGAACCGTGCGCTGTTGGCGTTAGCACCTGGGCCTGGGATGGCACGTGTTGAGCCTCAGCTTTCAAGAGCCACCAAAAAGTGACTCCACATTGGGAATTGTGGCAACTGCTCTTTGGAGGTCTTGGGGGTTGTATCCTGGGAGTGACCACTTGCCCAGAGTGGCGGGGAGGTCTCAGTCCTCACCCGCTTAGGTCTGTGGTAGCAGATACTCCAGACTTGGCTCGAGATGGGACCCTTCAATCATGATGCTTGGTGACTAGTAGTTAGGGGTGGGTGGCATTGGTGAGGACGCTCTCAGTTCAGATGATTGAGACCCAGCTCCAGGTACAGTAGGTCCGCCAACCCATAGTTTTGCTTTCTCTGAGGTCAACCACTGTTGGAAAATATTACGGTATTTTGAGAGAGAAACCACATTCACTTAGCCTTTATTAAAGTACATTGTTATAATTTTTATTTTATTTATGATAATCTCTTACGATGCCTAATATATAAATTAAACTTCATCATTGGTATGTATGTTTAGGGGAAAACGTAATATATATAAGGATTTGGTCCTATCTGCAGTTTCAGGCATCCACCGGGGGTCTTGCGATGTGTCCCCTATGGATAAGGGGGACATATTAAGGGGACTGTAAATGAACAGTGCAGGAAGTTCATTGGCTCATTGCAATTAGGAAGCCTCTTCAAGGCTGGACCTGGGCCAGGTGTCCAGCTCTAGTGCACCTGGAACCAGGCGCTCAACTGATGTAACTCAGGACTGAGTCTCTTTCCCTCTCTCGGCTTCGCTCCTTCTTTATTGACTTAACTCTCAGGCCATCTTCCCACGTGCCCCCTGCAATTCCTGCTTTAGGTGGGACTTAGGGTTCAGGTCATCAAAGCACCCATGTCAGCTCCTAAAAAAGCTCCTGAGTAGCCTTGCTTGGGTCACAGGCCTGCCCCTGAGCCCTCAGTGTCCAGAGAGATGACAGACCAGTCAGGAAATGAGTGGAGGAGGCAGGGCACCCGGCCCAGGGAGTTGGGGCAGCCTGTCCTATGGCCTGCAGCCAGGGTCCATGCAGAACAACTGGGACTGGGGCTTCCTGGCAGACTGCTGGGGGTCCTGAGAGTGTTCCCCTAGAGGCTCAGAAGGGGAAAGACATCCCAGGCAGAGACCCGTGCAACGTCCATGCCCTCTGGATGCGCTGGGGACTGCATTAGCTACAGCCTCTGAGCAACCCAACCCTGTGGCCTGGGCTTCAGGGAGAACAGCAGCACTGCTCCAAGCAGCCCCCTCAGTGCCCCGTGGGAGTTCACAGTGGGCATGGAGACAGGGCCCTGGGACTCCTTGACCAGCTAGCAGAGCTCAGGCTCTTCCTGGGTCAGGGGAGGTGGACAGTGAAACCCTCCCACCGTGTCAGTGAATGGAGGTCCTGTTGGTCGAGATGCCAGACACCCAAGGTGCAAGCAGAGGTTGGGGGGGCTCCCTAGCTGCCAAAGACCACCTCTTCCAGCCTGACCTTGGCCCCAAGGTGAGCATCCATTGCCCACTGTAGCCAGCTCTCAAGAGTATGTCACGCCCCAAGTATGGTCCAGACCCTTCCTGAGTTCCCCGAATTACAAGCCACCTGCAATCTGCCTCATCCCCCAGATGCTGAGTGAGTGCAGGTGTCTGGTGCTCTAATAACCACTTCTAGACCAAGAGGCCGGGGAAATGCCAATGGCTGTCAGAGGTGTGTCTTAGTCTCTGACATGCTGGTGGCTGCTGCCTGTCCCCAGGAATGGGCGCCAACACATGCCTCTCACCATAAGTTGCTCAGTGACTTCAGCTGTTCTCTCTTACGAGGTCAAGCCTCCCTTTTTCCATGACCCAGAGAGCCATTCAATGTACAGAGTATGCCCACCTGCTCTCTTCCAGCCGGGCTAGTGGGCCCAGTGCAGGGCGTCTTGGGCTCTCTAGGGTAGAGCATCTAAATGAGAATTGGCACAGCCCTCGCCCTGGGCATTACTCGCCTAGCCTGGTCCCTCAGAGGCATAGCGTAGGGGTTAGGGGCCAGCCTGCTTAGGTTCAGATGAAGTCTTTGCAGTCACTCGTTCACCCATGTATGTGTTTGTGAAATAAACATGGCAGGAGGAGCCACGGGAAGTCTGAGAAGTAGGCGGTCTTGGGAGACACAGGCTTTGGAGCAAGAGCGGGAAGGAGAGGAAGTTGGACCTGTGGCATCACTTCCACCTGCAGTGGGGCCACATCCTCAGTTCTTCTGACTCCGATGGCTTGTGACCCACTGGCCCAAGCTGTCTTTTTAAGTCTTGTGTGGCTGTGTCAAGGGAAAGGCCTTGGTCTCTAGGAGAGGGAGATGGGCACAGGGAGCAGAGAGCCAGGCCTGGTGTTGTCGGGAAGGGTCCTGTTGTCCCTCTTCTGTCACCCAGGCAGAGAGGAACTGTCTGGAGGCCGTGCCAGGCAGCCAGGAGGAACCCTGGGTCATGGTAGTTGAGCCTACAGCTCAGAGACACTGGGGCCAACCCCTCTCCACAGAGGAGAGAACTGAGAGCTCAGAAGGGTGTGACGCAGATGAGGCCCCTGAGCCAAACAGGCCTGGGCCCTGGCCTGGCATGGGCTCTGCAGAGCTGAAGTTGCAGGACTCCCCAGAAAGGATCAGGGGCAGAGGACATTCAGGACTGGACCACTGGCTATTAGCAAACCCAGGCCTGTCACATGGGGCAGGTAGGAGCTAGTTGATGACCTAGGAAATGACCCTGGGTTCTAGGGGAAAGGCCGCTGAGGCCTCCCCCAACTGTGCAGTGCTGGGGTGCTGGTCTCCTCTGCACTGCTCCCCCCCAACCCCCGGCGCCTTCACAGCAGCCTTCGGGCAGCCTGGGAGGACCCCCCAGTGCTGGTCAGGGAGAAGCCCTGGAGTCTCCTGACAGGAAAGGGAAAGCTCTGCCATGAACAGTGAAAGAGAATCAGTGCCATGTTACATTTGGGGACAAAGAAGTGTCCAACAGTGGGGAAGGGGTGGGGAAGAAGTCAGGACCCTGTGGAGAGCACCTTCCAGGAAGGGACTGAAGGCATTCGATGGAGTCCCAAGACCTGGGGAGCTCGAGTGCTGTGCTCAGTAAATGTTTGAATGAATGAACAGACAAAATGAATGAGCCTTTATCATTCGGCTGTGATTGTCAAGGTCACGTGAGGATGCAGTGCTTGCTTACTGTCATAGAAATTTCTGCACACATAAAATGCAGCTGTGAGTAGCACCGGTGTGCAGACACCACTGACCGTGGTGGGGAGAGGGCGCAGTGAGCATTAGGGAGAACCTGTGAGGCTTTGTTCCTGGATGCCTCTGAAAGCAGAGAAGGCGGCCAAATTTTGGCCAAAGCAGTGGTCCTAAAGGGTTTGAATGACCATAAATGGTGTCCGTGTATGGCCAGGGCTCCCTTGGCCTTTCCTGCAAGATGATTTTCATACATCAGACACATCATCATTTCCATTTCATTTGTGTAAGTGTGGGTCGTGGTTTATTGGGCCCTCTTCTCAGGGAATGTGCTGGTCGTTTCTGCCCCAGAAGAGATGCAGGCTCTTCAAGGCTGGACCTAGGCCAGGTGCCCAGGCCATCTGGCTCCATGCCCTGCGCTCTGGGCCACTCCTTCCCTCCTCATCCTGGCCCCCAACCCACCCCCTGCCGTCACTGGGCTCTCACGGCCCTGTTCTCTCGTGTCCTCTCTGCAGGCTGGTGGTTTGTGAGCACCTCTGAGGAGCAGGGCTGGGTCCCTGCCACCTACCTGGAGGCCCAGAATGGCACTCGGGATGACTCAGACATCAACACCTCCAAGGCTGGGGAAGGTAAGGGCCTGTGGGCTTGGGGGTGGGGGGGGTTGGGTAATGAGGCAGGGATGGGGCCCTGGAGCTGCCCCAGGAGTCAACCCCTGCTGGGGGCAGCTCTCCCACTGTTCCCCCCAAAACCATCAGAACTCTATAGTGAGTTGGGCCATATCTCAGCCCCTTCCCTTGGGTCCCATCTCACTGAGGCCAGTCCACAGCCCACCTCCCACCCTACATCCCTGCCGGCTCCCATGTGGGGCTAAAAACAGAGGGGAGGTTCTCCTGGGCCGTGGACCTTGGGCTTTGGCAACTTTTGGCCAGAGACTCAGGAGCACGGTCTTAGGACTAGACCCACCAGAAAGCTCCTGGGCTCCTCTGGAAGACCCCATGGAGACCTCAGTTCCCCCAGCCACACTGTGTTCTCTGCAGTAGGGACAATCCGAAGGGATGGGTGCGCATAGCAACTGCCGTGAGTGCGTCCCGCTCAGAAGCCTCTGCACTGGGTGCTGTCCGCTTGGCCAGGGGTACAGACCCTCCAGATCTGTGAGCCGTTTCTCAGTGGCTCAGGAACTCAGGGTGGCTCAGGCCCCACACAGCTGCTCTGATTAGCTCTGGCTCAGTGAGGATTTGCAGGGTCTCTGTCCTTGCATTCCAAAGAGCCTGCCCCTGCCCATGTCCCCTGGGCCAGCACCGGCCTGGGCAGCCTGCCTGTGGACTCAGCATCCCCAGAGGAGGCCTCCTACACCCAGTAAATCTGAGCCACACCCAGGTCAGTCCCTGGCCACCTGCCGCTGATGACTTCCAAACCTCCCGTGGCCTGGCAGCAGGAATTCTTTCCCTAACGGTCGGTGGGACGGTCCAGATAGATGTGTCTGAGAGCCAGAGGAATCAAGGCCTGCCACCCGGGGCTTAGGCCACCTCCAGGCCTGCTTCCCCCGCCCACCTCCCTGCTGCCAGGCCAAAATAAGCAGCCCGCCAGCTCCTTATTCATCCTTCCCCTCAATGCAGGTTACTCTCGGTGGGCGGCTGGGGCCCCACCTTTCCTCCTGTGTCAGTGCTTCATTTCGGCCCCTGTGCGTTTCCAGGGACAGGCCCATCGGGAAGGGCTTGCGTGTCCAGGCGGGGCTGAGCCTGCACCCCAGCTCCTCTCGGGCTCCACTGCACCTCTGCAGCAGTGGCGAGTCATGGCCCTGAGCTGGATCTGGTCTAGTTTGCTGCAGCTCCATGTTCTGTAGGGCATCCCAGGGCCTCACAAAACAGCACTAGCTCACACAGTGCCAGGTGCTGGGCTAGGTCCTCTAAATGCCGTGCCCTGGGAGGACACCGTTGCTGTCCCTGTTTTAACAGCTGTGGGAACTGAGGCTTCGAGATGTTTAGTTATGTGCTTGTCCTTGGAAGGTTTGGGCCCTGGTCAGCCTCCATTGTCCTGTGGTCCTCACCACTGTGCCACATGCCCCTCCATGACATGTGTAAGCAGTGAAGACAGCTCTTGGCTCAACTCCAAGGGAGTTGGGGCAGGGGGGAATCTGAGCCCCCAGCTGAAAAGGCTGCACCAGGAAGGTCAGAGCAGAGATGGTGGGTAGATTGTGGAGGACCTGGGCACTGAGTGGGCAGAAGCCCAGGACAGGAAAGAGCCTGAGAGACATAGAGCACGAATGCCAGCCTGGTTGGAACAGAGAGCAGGAGCTTTGCACAGAACAAGTGGTAGCAGGTTGTGGCAGATGTTGACCTTGGTGAAGTATGAACGAGGCAAGGCAGAGGCCTCAGGTTCTGCACTCAGAGGTGTGTGTGTGTGTGTGTGTGTGTGTGTGTGTGTGTACACACATGCACCCCAGGTGACCCTCCTGAGGGTCCTCTGCATGCCTCTGGTAGGGCCCGTGTGCCAGTACCCCTGGCAACTTTTGGACAGCTATGGGTTCCACCATCACATCTTGGGTATTTCCTACCCAGATCTACCAAAGGGCTCGTGGCTGGGTCCCCTGGACCTACGACCCCAGCTACTGTGGTGTGTCCACCTGTCTCTCTGCACCTGCAGCCACGCGGTCAAGAGAGTCACTCACCCTGGCTCCCTCTTTGCCCATCTCTGGTTCAGCCCTGGGGCTCTCCCTTTGTTAAGTCCCCTGAGCTGTGTGGACAGAAGTTGGGAGCCTTCGTCCTATCAGAGCTCCCCTAACAGCTCACATTTCATCACTTTGGAAAGAAAAGAGACAGTCGGCTATTCTGGGTTTTGTTGTTATTGTTGTTGGGGTTTTTTTGGTTTTTTGTTTGTTTTCGAGCCAGGGTCTCACTCTGTCACCCTGGGTAGAGTATAGTGGCATCATTGTAGCCCACAGCAACCTCCAACTTCTGGGCTCAAGTTATTCCCCTGCCTCAGCCTCCAGAGTAGCTGGGACTACAGGCGCGTGCCACGATGCCTGGCTAATATTCTGGTTTATTCTTATCATCAGACACTGTGTATGTCTGTGTTTCTCTTGAAGCCAGGTGTGCTGTGGAGAGATCAGCAATGTTGGCAGGAGTGGGAGGGCTGAGACCCTCTTGCCCACTGACAGTGCTGAGGGTCCAAGCCCGACATTCTCAAAGTGCTTTAGATCCATCACCTGTCAGAGGTGAGGAAACGGAGGCTGGGAGACTTGTGTCCCCTCTACTGAGCCCTCAGGTTAGTTTGTGGCAGAGCCAAGACTAGAACCCGGGTCTCTGCTGACGATGAGCTGCATTCCTCCCTGGTGGGCTTGTGTTGGGACGCATGGGAACAGCCCACTGGTCGGCCTCCGGTGCTGCTACATCAAGGGCAGGCCTGCCCGCCCGTGAGCGGGTTCCCCAGCACCCAGACTCTCCCCTCCCTACTCTGTCCCGCCTTCCCTGCTGTTGGCAGGCTGTGGTGACCAGAGTTGGGGAGGGTCCACAGGTAAGAGTCTGGGCTCCAGACCCAGACTGCCTGGCTTCACACAGTGCCCCGAAACGTAAGGACCAGAAGGCTCCTTAATGTCTGTGCCTCTGTTTCCCCACCTGTGAGATGGGCCAGTGCTGACCACACAGGACCTTTGTGACGCTCTAGGTCTTTGTGATGGTTTAAACTGGGCCTGGCACACAGTGAGTACGTGTCACTTGTCATGAACACAGCCCCTGGTCTGGGCAGTAGCTAGAGCCCCTCCCTCTCCACAGAGAAGCCCCGCCCCCCACCCCACCCAGGAGGCCCAGCTCGGGACCTGATTGGCATTCCCCAGAGCCCTTTCCACCCCTTGTCTTGGCTCATGCCAGGGCAGGTGGTGTCGCCCTGAGACAGATGAGGCAAGAGGCTTAGGGATGGCAGGCCTCCCAGGGTGACCCAGGCTGCTGGCAGCGGGTCCTGGGCTGGAATCGGCACCTTCTAGCCTTTTGTCCAGGTCCTGGCCTTGTAAAAGGCAGATCTGATGGGCCACTCTCCTTCCAGGAATGCAGACGCTTTCCAGACGGCCTCGGTGGGGTTTGGCCCAGGTGTGTCTGGACAGCTTTACTTTCACTCCAACCACCAGCCTCTCTCCCACCCCCTCCCCACCCCCAGACCTGGGCGGCCTCGCACCCTCCTTCTGCAGTGCCAGGAGGTGGGGCCAGCCAGCATCCTGGATCCCTGGTCCAGTGTCCCTTCCACCTGGGGGTCCCATAGGAAGGCAGGGGCATCTGGAGTCGGGGCCTGAGCAGAGGGGTGCATGGAGGCTCAGAGCTAGGCCGTAGCACCCGGGGGACCAGTGCAGGATGCCACCCAGAGAGCGTGGTCCAGGCCAAAGGGGTCTGGAGCAGTGAGCCATGGGGGAGGCAGGGCCCCCATCATCAGAAATCCCAGTGGTGATGTGAGAGAAGGAGCGGAGCCGGGCCTGTGGCTTCCTTCCACTGTGCATTTCATTCAGCAAGCGTTTCCTGGGCGCCAGCCGTGGTCCAGGCACTGTGCTAGGTCCGGGGGATGCAGAGACACAAGGCAAAGTCCTCGCCCTCGACAGACTCATCTAGTGGGGACGAGTGAGAAAGTGAAAACACAAACAGCCCAGAGTGGTGGGAGCTGTTAGCCCCGCAAAGAGGGGACACGAGAGTCTCGTGGGTGCTTCCCCTTCCACACGTGGTGCCCGGCCCCAGGGGGCAAGTTCACAGTCAGTGCTCAGTGAGCGAGTTGTTGTGGGCCCCCAAACCCTCCTGGGAATCAGCACCATCCGGCAATTGGGAACCAGTGACCTCTCCGTCCCTGGGGGCTGCAGCTGTGGGGCTGCCCCCCACTGGGCTGGAGTTAGGGACCATTTTCATTTCTAAGGTGCTGGGATTCTAAACGCTTTAGCCCACGCCAAGGCTCAGGGCATAAGCTGAGGGGTTTAGCTTTGGTTCAGTTTTTCCCCATGTGTCAACGATGTCACCTGTCATCTCTGCTTCCGTCCAGCAGGGCTGTGCCCTTCAGCTCAGTCCAGGTGATGGTGACCTGGGAGCGTGGCCCCCCTCCATCCCCTCCCCCATCCCACCCCCATCTCATCCTCATCTCCATTCTCTCTGCCGGTTGCTGTCGGCCGCGTGCTCCATCACCATCTCCCACGCCAGTGTCCAAGAGACGCAAGGCCCATCTGCGGCGCCTGGATCGCCGGTGGACCCTGGGCGGGATGGTCAACAGGCAGCACAGCCGAGGTGACCGTGGGAGCTGGCTTCTCCTCCCCTCACAGCTTACGCCTGTCTCTCACTAACACCTTTCCTCTTCCTGGGCGCTGCTCGCTGCCCCCGGGGCTTCCTCACTCACCCAGGTCCCCGGGCCAGACTTTTCTCTCACCTACTGCAGCTTGCAGGGGGCTGCTCGGGAGTCGGGGTGGCACTGATGGTGGCTCTGGTTTTTGTCATTGGTCCTGGGCATGGGGAGGTCATGGGATGTGATTATGGGTCCTCTGAAAAGGAAGAGGGGCTTGAGGAGGGGGACAAGAGGGGGTCTCTGGGTGTCCAAGGACGGCCACATTTGCCCTGGAAGCTGGAGAGTAAAGGTGCTATAGGAGTCTAAATGGCCACGTGGGCCTTCCCACGCCCCCTCCTTCACTGCCTCCTTCCTCTGAGAAAGGGCTCCCTTGGCCAAAGCTGTTCTGTGAGTTGCTTGGGAACAGAGTAGAAAGAAGAACCAGCCCACAGCCCTCCTGCTTCACAGAAACTAGAAAGGGAACAACGGGCAGACCTAGCCTGGCACCAGGGCATGGCCCAGCAAGCTCTGCTCCAGCCAGGAGCACTAACTGCGGGATTCAGGAGGCGCCTGGTGAGGAGGCTTCCAGGGAGGCCCAGGGCCGGCAGGCAGCCAGTTTCTCCTGCCCTTCGGGGAGCAGGGATGTGTGCTCCTCGCAGAGATGACACAGCTGGAAAGGTGCTCTCCATCCCTGAGCAGGGAGTGTAATAAACACTGACCTTTCTGGAGCACAGGAACACCTGTGACTAGCACTATCCTGCCCCTCACCCCCAACACACACAGCTTGTTTCTAAATGACAGAACATGTTTTGGTGTCTGCCCCAGGCCTGGGACAGCAGAAAGCCTGGACTCTTGGGTGGCCACAGCCTACGGCTGGCTCGGCACCAGGCACAGCGCTGGCCGTGAGGAACCCAGCTTGTCCTGAGGGTGGAGCCTGGGCTGGACCCTGGGGGCTGACATGGGGCAGGGGGCTGAGTTGTAGAAACAGCAGCAACAGGTTGAAGGTAGACCAAAGGCCACCCCAAAGCCAGGAGGGGTGGGACAGCACCACTGCGAGGCTGGCTGGGACGCAGCCCGGGCCTTGGCAGCCAAGGAGAGCAGGATGCAGGCCCGGAAACAGGGACGAAGGTTTGGCCTGCTCCAAACGCTCTCATGCTCTGAGCCCCAAACACAAACCTGTCTCCACAACCACACAGACACATGCAGCTGGCGAAGTGCTACCACCCACATACAGCCCTGGTGGCCACGGGATACAGTTCCCTGTCACATCCAGCCCCCTCAGCTGCACAGCCACAGTCCTGCGCACACAGCCACTCACAGATGCGTGTATATAATGCCACACGTCCACTGTGCCACGCGTGTGCTGTTCACACAGTCACACATGCATCACACACACAGCAAACTGCTCGTGGTCACATCATACATGCTTGTGCAGCAGCATCCACAGGTACACAACGAGCATCATGCATCACCCCGGTACCGTGAACACAGGTAATGTAGTCACATGTGTATACACTGTATGATGAGGCATGTAGACACAAATACCCGGCTAAATGCATAATTCTGCAGTCACCCACATGTAAGCAAATACAAGCCCGCAATTTCTCTCTCTCTCTCTCTCTCTCTCTCTCTCTCTCTCTCTCTCTCTCTCTGTGCGTCCCCGTGGTCTCCACTCCCGTTCCCTCCCTTGGAACCAAAAGGCTTCTCTGAGTGGCGCTGGGTGAGTCGCGGGGACGGGAGTGGAGCCAGGGAGACTGCTGACAGAGGGGAAAGTGTTGGGAATGCAGGCTGCTGTGGTTTGGAAATTGCAGGACACCCAGCCCCTGCCTCCCAAACCAAAACAGGCCTGTCCACCCCCAACCCACTCAGCCAGCGGCCTGGCCAGCCCTCACCAGGGCAGTTGCCACCGTTGCTTGGTGGGATGGTCAGTGCCCACGGCCCTAGTGCTTCCCAGGGACCTGAGGAGTCCACCAGAGCTCACAGCCTCCCTCCCCTCAACTCCATTTCCTAAGGGACATCTCTTTCAGAGACCCTGACCAACCTGGATGACTCAGCCACCCGCTGAGGCCATTTCTGTCCCCACAACCACCCACCCACACACACACACACACACACACACACACACACACCCCCACACACACACACGCCTGGGCATTCTCTCATTCGAGCCCCCAGATGGGGTTTGTGGCCCTGTTGAGTGGAAGATCTATCTCTGCTTCTCCCTTGAGACACCTGTGAGTTGGGAGGCCTGAAACGCATGTGGCATGTGTCCACATGGGAGGCGGTCCACACTGCTGTCATCTGAGCCGACTGGGGCAGAAAACCCAGGACATGGGAAGAGTCAGTCTGACTGCCCAGCCCTGCCAGGGACCAGGGCTCTGAACTCTCATCCTCTGGAAGCTGTGCGGTGGCTGGGGCAGGCCGTGTCTCCCAGCCAGCCAGTGCCCTTACCAGGAGCACATGATCTCCGGGACGCCTGTGCCACAGCCCAGAGGACGCCAAGAACAGGGCCTTTTGCAGGAACAGCTCAACTTTACTGGCCAGAACTGACATCCTTGGTTCTGCCCCCATGACCCAAGAGGTCAGGAGCAAACAGGAGCTTGCAGAACATGCCGGAGGAACTCTGTCCACATGTACCCTGGGAGGCTGCGGAGGCTGGGGCCTGGCAGCTTGAGGAGGCCGAACCCACACGGGATGGTCTCTAGGCCCTGTTCTCTACCAGAGGCAGGGCAGGGCTCCTCTGATCTTCCCACGAGAAGGGCTGTCATTTTTCTCTGCAAATGCACCCTTGCCTAGGAAAACTTTAATGATGGCTTCCTGCTTGAACCACAGACTTTTAAAAATAGCCCAGTGAACAAAGGCAAAATGTGGAGCCCAAGCCTCGCCTCACCCTAGCCTCAGAACCCTGGATTCCCGCGGCCTGGCGCCGCCCCTCTGGCCGCTGCCTGGGCCAAGATTTACCGTGCCCCACTGGAAAATGGAGCAGGACCAGGAGCAGGCAGGAGAGCAGAGGTTGGACTGTGGAGTCCTGAACTTCTCAAAGGCCCGAGTCAGAATCTGGCGTGGCCGGGTTCTCAGGCAGCCTTGGCAGCGATCCGCAGCATGGCTGGGTTGGAATCCGAAAGCCTCTAGGAGTGGGGCCCTCCCCAAGTCGGTGCTGAAGGTCTACGGCGGAGAAGCACGCTGAAGAACTGTGCAGGCTCCCACGGGCCGTCACCCACCTTTTGCTTTCGGGGAGGCTTTCACATTGGGCCGGTATCCCATCAGTTCTGTCCTCAGGGCCCAGCAGGGCAGCCGCATCCACCCCAAAGGGAGCTGCTATCTCGGCACAGGGCCGTGGACAGAGCCATGATGGCCCAGGGGAGAGTGAACAGATGGCCCTCCTGCGGCATCTGACCTCCCCCATCACTGCCAGGGGCTCAGACAGGCTGCCTGGCAGTGTCCCGCTGAAGGGCCCAGGGAGTAGTTTGCACAGCGGGGAACCAGGGGACAGGGTCTCAGAAGCCGCAGGCCAGCGCTCTGCGCCAGCACCCTGCTGTTTTGCCCTCACAGAAAGCTTCCCACTCAATACCCTTGCTCAGCCCTGCCTTCTTCACGATGCAGTCAACAGTCTCTTACTCCTACTGTCTGCCAGGCCCCGTCTCCGTCTCTGTGGAGCACCTGGGCCGGCATAGGTTCAGGTGACCCTCCCAAAGGGCATGCCAGATTGCCAGTTCTTCCCCCTGTCTCTGCTCCTCGTTCTCCCAGAGGGCGAAGGGGGAGTGTGTTCCACCCTGAGCTGTCCTCCAGGGAGGGCCTTACCAGGAGGCAGGGGTCTCTGGCTAGCCAGCTGTGGGCAGAGCCAGGGAGTACCCAGCCCTGGGTCTACCTGTCAGGGGCTTCCTGGGACAGGCACAGCAAATACGGAAGAAACACCTCCCTGGAAGCCTGATCGAGAACCCAAGTCACAGGCGCCAGGGCCTCCTGCCGGGAGGAAGGCTGGAAGAAACCAGGAAGATGCTGTGGGGCCCCAGCCTCCCCACACCTGCCCTTCCAAGCTCTTCCTGAGATTCCGCAAGGTGCCTCTTTCCCAGTGCCTTAGGAAAACCTTGAACAAGACCTTGAAGTCACATCCATGAGAACAGAGCAGGCAGTGCCCAAGAGGGGCTGCGCAGCAGCTGCACGATCGGGTCAGCACCCCGTCCTCTGGAAGGTGCATGGGCACGCGGGCCCAACTAAGGGCCCACGAGGTCCTGCCAGATTGTGTCACATTTAGCGTTTCCACTCATTTGGCCACAGGACCCTTAACAAAGCACTTAGATCCACTCCCCAAACTGTTCTGTGGAATGTTTTGGGGAAATTACATGATCAGATGTTAACGGTGGGCCGGGAGCCCAGGGAAGGTTTCACCAAGGGGGTGCCCCTAGAGCTTCTGAAAGTCAGACAGAAGAATGTAAGAGGTTGAGGTGGGGGCAGGGCTGGGAGAGCACGTCCGGGACCCAGATGGAAGCATCGCACCTTCCGAGGAGGGGTATGCCATGGGGTCTCAAGGCGTCCAGGGGACACCCAGCTCTTAGACTTCCCAACTCTGGCCCCTCCCGAGGAGTGGGTTCCTCCTCCTGCCCTCAACCCAGCGAGCTCCTGGGGCCTTTGGACTGCAGGTCCCAGCAGCCCAGATGCTGTTCTCAGCTGGGAGAGCTGACTCTCTGCTGCCTGGGGTGTTGCCAGGCAACCTGGGGTCCTGGCTGGGTATGGCACACACTTGGGGCAGCAGTGACCCTGCCCCCATGACCTCCCCACTGCCACCCCCAAGGCCTGGTCCTTTCCTACCCTGGAGAAGCCATGCTGACCCCATGCTCCTTGGCAGGCAGCTGAGCCAGAGGAGGGGGCAGGAAGCAGGACTTCCACCCAGACCCCAAATAATCCTGCTTTCTTCTGTCCACCCACCCACAGAGGAGAAGTATGTCACTGTGCAGCCATACACCAGCCAGAGCAAGGACGAGATTGACTTTGAGAAGGGTGTCACCGTGGAGGTGATCCGGAAGAACTTGGAGGGCTGGTGGTACATCAGGTAGGAGACCTGGCGGAAGAGGAGATGCCTCTGCCCCACCTGGGCCCTGGGCAGAGTGCAGAGTGGCTGTGACCACCTGATGGCAGGTAGACACTGACAGCAGCTGTGCACCCAGCGCACAGGGCTGGCTGCTCCGACTCTGCGCAGCTGCACTGCTCAGCCAGAGTGTTCATCTCGCAGATTCTCTCCCAGGACATGTAAAGCAGAGCTGGAGCCACGGCCAGCGGGGCACAGAGGCCCCGGCTCTGCTTGCAGACTGTGGTGCAATCCCTTCCCACGCATCTGCCAAGAGAGCTCAGCACATCTGAATTTGGTTTTCTGCGTCCGGCCTTGGCTCCCTGGCCTGCTCCACAGCGAGGGCTGCCTGGAGCGCTGGCGCCCACAGGCCTCGCCGGGGTCCCAGCAGGCAGCCTCTGCTGCCCAGGCTCAGCGTTCAGCCCCGAGGCGGGCTTCTGACAGCATGTCCCTGGTGGATGGGGGCATCCGTCCACTCTGCAGGGCTGGCTGCAGCTCAGACCATCAGGGGCCTCCTCCTCCTCCTGCCCCTTCCTCTCCCAGGGCCTAATCACACTGCCCAGCTGGAAAACCCATTTGGGGGTGTGGGCAGGGGAGTGGGAGATTTTCTGACCCCCTGGAAGCAAACTAAACCCTGTAGGCTTCACTCACGATTAATTGGCCAAGACCAGCCCTTCAGGAAATGCTTCTTGTGCCTTTGGAGCTGGCTCGGCTGTGGTGGCTTTGCACAGCTGACAGAGTCCCGTATCTGTGGGCTCAGGAGACCACGGCCTCAGCCACCACACCTAGGAGACCCAGCCCCCGGTAAGCAGGGTGTGTGTTCTGAACAGTCTCCCATAGACGGGACAGAATCGTGCCGTGGGGCCCCCGTGACTGAGGTGATGCACGCACTCGTGGCACAGTTGCTCAGAGCATGGCAGAATGTGACGGTGTTATGTGCTGAGGGACAGGACGAAGGTCACTGGATACATGGAGGTTGAACCTTAGTGTGACCTGATGGGACATAGCTCCACTCCAGCCCCAGGCCTGATACATAGCCCAGTGGAGCTGAGACGTCCTTTTCTGTGCTGTTGCGTGGGATGGGGCTATGTACCTGGACATGTGTTATCCAAAGCCACTGCCCTAGACTTTTGTTTTCTATTTTTTATTTTTATTTTATTTTATTTATTTATTTATTTATTTTTGAGACAGAGTCTCACTCTCTTGCCTAGGCTAGAGTGCCGTGGCATCAGCCTAGCTCACAGCAACCTCAAACTCCTGGGCTCAAGTGATCCTCTGCCTCAGCCTCCCAGGTAGCTGGGACTACAGGCACGGGCCACCGTGCCCGGCTAATTTTTTCTATTTTTAGTTGTCCAGCTAATTTCTTTCTATTTATAGTAGAGATGGGGTCTCGCTCTTGCTCAGGCTTGTCTCGAACTCCTGAGTTCAAGCAATCCTCCCGCCTCGGCCTCCCAGAGTGCTAGATTACAGGCGTGAGCCACCTCACCTGGCCTATGTTTTCTAAGCAACGGAAACTAGAGCCAACCCAAAAATCCCCCAACCACCAATCTGACGTGGAAAGGCCAGTGAACATTCTGGCAGGCTAGTAGCCTAATTCACTTGCCTGAAAGTTATCTACAAGGCTTCTTTGTCTTATTTTATTTTTTTAGTTTTCTAAGATTATCAACATGTCACTCTGAGCTACTTCCACTCCACTCACATCTCCATGGCCTTGTCCTGTTGCTGGTGGGAGCCTGCCCTAAGTAAACCCTGCCCCACCTTAAGAGGGCTGCCAGATATCCCCTTAAATCTCCATTTCCCAACATTCCAAGCTCTGTGTTGATCTTCATTTCCTGTCTTTATTCTCCTCCCTCCACCCCTGCAGATACATATACACATGCACACGCATGCACGAGCAGGCACACACACACACGCACACACACCCTCGAGCTCTCTCCATCCCTCCCCTTCCACTTTGCTTCCCTCTGGAGTCATTCCACACTCCCGAGCTGGAAAGCAGATGTGAGCAGAGTTGGACCCAGACACACACAGCCACTCCTGATTCCCTTGCATTTCTCTGCCTGGAATCTAATTTTATCCATGTAACACTGCAGGAACACAAAAGGCTTTGAACTGGGAGCACTCAGGGCTGTAAGCAGGCCTGTCACCTCCAGGAGCAGCCGCTCCCCAGTCTCTACAGTGTTCACGTAGAAAAACATCGGCAAGGGCCAGTGGGTTCATCATCATCATCCTTTTTCCGAGATGCGAGAACACCAGGCTCTGGGCCAGATGCTGCCAACAGCGAGCTGTGTGACCCCCTGCTACTCACTTCTCTTTTCTGAGCTTTGGCTGTTGGCTCACATGAAGATGAGGCTTTTTTTTTTTTTTTTTTTTTGAGACAGAGTCTCACTCTGTTGCCCTGGCTAGAGTGAGTGCTGTGGCGTCAGCCTAGCTCACAGCAACCTCAAACTCCTGGGCTCAAGTGATCCTTCTGCCTCAGCCTCCTGAGTAGCTGGGACTACAGGCATGCGCCACCATGCCCGGCTAATTTTTTTTCTATATATTTTTAGTTGTCCGATTAATTTCTTTCTAATTTTAGTAGAGGCGGGGTCTCGCTCTTGCTCAGGCTGGTCTCGAACTCCTGAGCTCAAACAATCCGCCTGCCTCGGCCTCCCAGAGAGCTAGGATTACAGGCGTGAGCCACCGCACTCGGCCAAGGATGAGGCATTTTTACTAGTTGCTCCAATGCACCTGGAAATCCTGTGCTTCTGTTTGCACGCGTTACAGCAGGAAGCCACAATGGGCCCTGACTTCCATCCATTTGTTCACGCATGTCCTCCTTCCAAGACCCAGACAGGTGAGCTTGGGGCAACCTGCCTGCACGTTCCTGTGACATGAACGTAAAAAGCCACCTCCTACCTGAGCTTTCTAGCAAAGCTCCGACACATCGATAGGAACTTCAGGTTTCCCATGCCTTCTCTCCCACCTAATGAGCGCCCAAGAACAAGGTCAGATCAGTGAGACGGGGGTGTTTTCAGACATCTGGCACGGAGGAGCCATTCCAAAGCGCCAGATGTGTCCCAGGGAGCAGATGGGGACACTGCAACCTAGACTGGGGGCATTGGCCAACGACTACTGGACCAGGAAGTGAGCTCCCACCGGGTTTGGGTGAAAGCTCAACACCATGGGGGAGAAAAGGAAAAGCTTGTTTTAAGAAGCCATTGAATCACCAGAAATTAAGTCAGCCCTGTCATTTGCTTTTTGCTTTTGTTTATGGGCTGTTGGTCTTGTTTTGTTTGGGTTTTGTTTTGCCATACCAATGGTTTTAATTTCATCCACTCACATGCTTTAGTCTTTTCATTTATGGTTTTTGCTTTTGGAGCCCCACTTAGAAAGACTTGCCCAACCCCCCAAATTATGTAAATCTTTTATTTTTTTATTTTGCTGTATGGTGTGAGGCCAGGGTCTCACTCACTGGGCAATTGGTTGTCCCCAAATCACTTAGTGAATGATGCATCTTTGCTCCACTAACCTGAAATGTTCCCTTTAGCCTGTTTGTAGACGTACTTCATGCGCCTGGTCTGCCTGCTGTCCCTGCAGTAACCACCCCCTCCCCATCCAGTCAGCCTTCTTTAAGGACATCAGTGTGTCTGTCCTGGATACATTTTAGCAGCTACTCTGCCCCTGCGTCTTGCAGAAGAGAAAAAATTGAGCTCCAGGGAAGGGACTTGTCCGAGGTACCATGAACTAGAACTGAGGTTGCCTGACTCACACCTGTGGCATCTCTTCCCACTCTAATAGTACTTCCTTTCCTACAGAGGATTTAACTGCATATACCACATACCACATTTCTCATTTCCAGAATTATCCTCAACTGGTTGTGAGGTAGCAGGCCGTTGTGAAGTCTACCTTGTGGGCTACCCAGAATCTGAGAAATCTCATCTCAAGGCCCCACGTTTGCCTGGCTGTGCAGAGCGAGAGCCCACACCAGGAGCGACCAGGCAAAGCAAAAGGAGTTAGAGGGGAAGAAATGGTGTCCTGGGTGTCTTTTGCACACACCCTCAGTTCCAGTTCTCTTAGAGTCGTGGGATTGCCAAGTCTCTTGCAGAACATGGCAGAGAAGGCTCCGCTGGGCGAGGCCAGGAGACGAGGGCCTAGGAGTGGGGTGTGAGGCCAGGCGTCAGTGCTCTAGTGACGGCATGCCTGCTCCTCCCACAGATACCTCGGCAAAGAGGGCTGGGCCCCAGCATCCTACCTGAAGAAGGCCAAGGATGACCTGCCGGCCCGGAAGAAGAACCTGGCAGGCCCCGTGGAGATCATCGGGAACATCATGGAGATCAGCAACCTGCTGAACAAGAAGGCGTCTGGGGACAAGGAGGCTCCCCCGGCTGAAGGCGAGGGCCATGAGGCCCCCATCGCCAAGAAGGAGATCAGCCTGCCCATCCTCTGCAACGCTTCCAACGGCAGCGCCCTGGGTGTCCCTGAGAGGACTGTCTCCAAGCTGGCCCAGGGCTCTCCAGCTGTGGCCAGGATTGCCCCTCAGAGGGCCCAGATCAGTAAGAGCCTCGCTGACCTCTGGGTCCTTACTGCAAAGCTCCTTACACAGTGGGCGTGGGGTGCAAGGCAAGCCAGCAGGGTGTGCGGGACCCTCTCAGCATTTGTTTCCTGAGCTGCAGACCTTTGACCTGCTGTCAGTCTGTGTCATGCTAATCACAGAGCGGAGAAGGCAGGGGATTATGGTGACTCAGTCCTTCCCAACTGCTCTGTTGAAGATAGATTACATGAGGATGTCGGCTGGTAGCATTCCCTCCTTTCGTGGAGAGTCAGAAACAGTCACTTTGCAGATAAATGCATTCCAAGACCAAGAAGCATTTTCTTTTCCTTATAGTAGAGGCTATATAAATCAAGATAGATGAGGTGTAGCTCATTGAAAACGCACACACACTCCCATCCCATTTCCCTGGGCTGTTAAATGTGGGCCCTACATGCAGGGCTGCTCTATGGAATGACAGCCTATAAAGGAACATCTCTCTGGGCCTTAGCCACTCCTTCCCTACACCTTCCCCTAGTTACTGGAAACCTAACCGGGGTGGAAGCAGAGGCTTTCCCGCTCTGCACAAGCAGTTTCAAGAGGGCATTCTTCAAGAACCGCCTTCATTCTCACAGGAGACCCCAGGCTGTCTGGCACCCTCTGTCCCCAGGCTGGCAGTGCCTGTGGTTGAGGGTTAAACTGTCCTCTGTTGTGGAAGCCCAGCTTTGTTTGTGTCTAGCCATTCTTAAAATCTGGAGGAAAGCTGTTTTTTAGCGTAGCTCCGAATTTGGTTAAGTTCTCATGCCTGAAACCTTTTAGGCAACCAGTTGGGAAACATTTACTGGGCACTTCCTCTTGCCTGGCATTGTGCTAACTTCTAAGGATTTAGTAGTGAGCAAAAAATAGACATGGCTCTGCTCCTGACTTTGAAAATCTGATAAATCTATGAGCCCTTTACCTTGAAAAATACCCATATATCTGTACATTTTGAAATGTGCACATGATCGTAGAGGTGTCATGGATGCCCTGAAGCACAGCTGGGGTAGCTTAAAGGCCTATCATTTCCTCTTGAGGAAGCCCAACGATAGTGCCTGTTGACCTAGAGTGCCAGGTCCTTCGTCAATGCCGAGCAAAAGCATGAAATTCCAGGGATCAGGAGTTGGTCGCACGTAGGGAAGGCAGCTGGAGGCACTGTTGCCCATCATCTGACTGGGTTCTGAAGCCATATCTCCTCTTCTAGGCTCCCCAAACCTAAGGACAAGGCCTCCACCGCGCAGAGAATCCAGCCTGGTATGTGTACTACATTTCTTCTCCCTTTTTTGTCCCTTTTCTGGGGATGCGCTGTAGCAGCCCTGATTAATTGGCTGTCTTGCTGCAGAGTGTGTTGGTCCAGAAGTTTTCCAGGGCCTTTGTGGGGCTGAGGGCAGGGAGCCCACAGATCCCAGTCGTCCTGGGGGTCTGGCTGGACAGTTTATAATCGGAAATGCACTGCACTCCAAAGCTAAATAAATCCATCCTGCCACTACGCTGGCAGACATAAACATTTAGACTGGCCAGCAAGAGTGTCCAGCCAGGGCATTGCCAGCGGCTAGAAATGGGGTTGCTGTCCATGTTAGCCTGGAAGCCTTCCAGCTTTGCCCTGTTGAGGAATGCCCAAGGGGTGTGCTGGATGCCAGAGCCTGGGAGGGCAGAGGGCAGACCAGCGAGCATCTTCCGGGGAGGGGGTATATTGCAAGGGCTGGCTTATGCTGAAGCTTAAAGAGGGTTAACACTGCTCAGGTCCTGCTCCTGTGGGTGGGGTTTCCTGGTGTCCGGACCCTCTGGCAGGCACCTGTGCAGTCAGGGGCTAGGCTTGGGGTGGCAGCAATGCTGGTGGCAAGCTGAGAGCCCTAGAACAAAGAACTGTTATCGCAGGCAGTAGGATGCAGGGGAAAGACTGGGGCTTCAGGTCTGCCCCGCATGGATTTGCATCTCACGTCTGACACTCAGGAGCAGAGAGAGGCTAGGCAAGTCACATACCTCCACAAACCTCAGTTTCCTTATCTGCACCATGGGGACAGCACTACCGTCTCCTAGGACTATTGTAAGGCTGAAACGAGATGACGTTTGTAGAGGGCTGGCAAATAGGCGTCTGTTTCCGTGTCGACTCTTGACTGTTTGGTAGTACTACCTGGTGCATGGCGTCGAGAAAGACGCTGAAGTCGCTGGGCTTAGCAAGGGTTACTGTGGTCAGTGACATCTGCCCTGGAGAGGGGGGTGTCAGTCGTGGAAGAGCAGGCCCTCCATAAATGGAGGACTTTTGAAGATTGGGTCCCTGGAGATGAGACTTTCCTTGCCCTGGCCCTTGTCCCCAGTGGAGTTTCTGTCTGTCTTTCCCCGCAGGTTTTACACACACAGCTAAACAGTGAATTCCTGTTTCCTCCCGTCTCTTTTGGCCCCAGCTAATTAGTTTCAGGCAGACTTGATTTTGGCAAGAATGGGGTAATTCCTTCCACACTTAGCAAATGTAGGGAGTGCTGAGGCAGGACTGCTGTTTCCAGTTGAGCCCAGCGGAGTCCCACCTGGCCGGGTGCAGGGGACATTGACTAGTTCACACCCAGTCCCCCAAACCAGCTTCCCCCACCCCTCGCTCACACTGACCCATGGCAGCCCAGGCGAGACTGGCGGGCTAGGCGGTGCTGAGCCTGGAAGGATGAGGACTGCTGGGAGGACGGGCAGTTTCAAGAGCTGGGTGGAGCTTTCCCTGCCCCTGCTGGGCCAGAGTTGTGGACATAGGTCGCGAGTCTCTCTGTGACGCTGGTGCCAGTCCCATTTCGCAGCTGGTAGATTGCAGGACTGGAGTGAGGTCCCTTGAGGCCTTCCTGCTGCACTGCAGCTTCGTCCCCCTCCCTCATCCCACCCACCTCTTTTTTCTTTCAGTTGTTTTGTTTTAATCCCTTTGTAGGAGGGAGGACATAAATAGTGAAGCACAAAGTTCATTTTAGCTGGAGTTGAGACAAGACAGGTTGAAGCGAGAATGTACAATCCACGCAGGAGGGTCCATTTCGTCTGCTAGCGGCTGCCCCGTGCCTTAGGCCAGTGTCTGTGCCCAGCAGACGCCCAAGTAACGGTTGTTAAATGAGGCCGGCTTCCAGACGCCCTTGAACGTCGTGCCGAGATGCTGGGTGCCAGTGGGCTCTGCCCCGCCCACAGAGACAGGATCAGAGGTTTGTTCAGTGCTCACCTGACCATTTGGCGGCGTCGTGACCCACCCAAGACTTCTCAGCCAACCCTAAGGCCCCTTCACTCCCACCCCAGCCTTAGAGACGGTCACGCCTCATTGCCCTGCCTCTGCGGCCACTTGCCCTTAGACTTCAGGACGGTGGCTCTCCTCTCCCACAGGGCAGTGTGCAAGGGCTTCGTTAGAATGATTTCTCTACTTTTTAGTTTTCATTTTGAGAGCGAGCTATTGATGCATCTGAAAACCAGGCCTCCAGAGGTGTAAACATGATGGTGTTCATAGCGGGCATTTTGATAGCTCAGACGAGGCTCGAGTGAATCCCGAGTAGTACTGGAAAGCCTCGTCAGGAGAGTGGTCTCTTGGGAATGTACCCCGGGACTTGGGTGGTAGATACGTGCTCAGGCCAGCCACTGTCCAACTGGCGTAAACAGCCATCCGCACCTCTGAGGACTGAGTGGGGACCAGTCCTCAGCCTCCTATGGTCCTGATTGGGTGGGTTTTGCTCACTGTGTTCTCTGCATTAGGGGTTCCAACTGCCGAAGCCACCAGAGCCCCCTTCTGTCGAGGTGGAGTACTACACCATTGCCGAGTTCCAGTCGTGCATTTCTGACGGTATCAGCTTTCGGGGTGGACAGAAGGCAGAGGTAAGCCTCAGGCGAGGGGCTGAGGGTTGTAACTCATTGGGGTCAAAACCGACTGCATTTCCCATGTTAGGTCTTGCTAGTAAGGTTCCTGAGGGGCAGGCAGGGGAGGCACAGAAACGAGCCCCACGAGATGAGTATTTGCATAAAGCTCGTTAGTCCCCCGTCTAGACTGGAACCCAGGACGCACACCTGCGCTCACGGTGCTGGCCTCACAGCAGTTTCTCCAAGTGTGTGGGGTGAGGGGAACGGGGTGCCGCGAAACTAAGGGCTCCTGTGGTCAAATGAGCTTGGGAGCAGTGGGTTAAACAAAATCCAGCCGTTTATTGTCTCAACTGCAGGGCTTCTCAGAGCCTAGGATGCGAGGATGTCAGTGGGGTCTCTACTGAGGGGACTAGAATAGGCAGCATCTCCCAGATGCATTCACTCCGCGAGCTTCGTCTCCCAGGCCGCCTGGGGGGCCAGGATCCTGCAGGGCCGAAGTTAGGAAGTGCTGTTGCTGGAGAATGTGGTCTAGCCAGGCGGATTAAGATACAGGCAGCCGGGTTCTGGCCACCTCCACGCCACAAGACCCCTGGTATTTAACGTAGTCACTTCTCCCCACCCCCAAGACTTTGAGTGTGTCTCTCTGCAAAGCAGGGTAACAGACCCTGGGGTGCGCCCTCCCAGCCTGTCTCCTGGCATTTGTACGACTCGATTTTGTGGCTGGTACTGAGCAAGATATTCCAGGGGACAGAGAGAAGATCTGTAACTCAGTCATTCCCGAGTGGCTGTGTGTGGTAACTGAGTTAAATCCAACTAATACATGTGAAACTGTCAGATTCATTGGGCAGTCTCCGCCTATCAAAAGGTGACATCCCCAACCTGAATGTTTTAAAGTACGTGTCTGGAACTTGGAACTAAATTTCCAGGAGAAATTATTCTGTCTGCGCTTAGGCTTCCGGGGAAGCCTGCCAAGCTCATGATGTGGCAGAATTGTCATCCTGTCAACCTCAGACAGGTTAAGGAGGAAGCTCCTTATCCTACGTGGAAATGACTGGAAGCCCCCACCCTTCCGACAGGAAACCATTCAACCCAAAGACACCTGTTCAGCTGATGGAATTTTGATGGGATTCCACAGGCAGCAGACACTGGGGAGGTGCCCTGGCCTCAGGCCTGCCCCTCCCAGCTCAGCTCATCTGCACCTTCCCAATCTGTCCTCACCTGGGAGACCTTTCAAGGGTTTCCAAGGGGGGCCCTAGCAATACTGGGGCGGAAGGAGGACGGGGGCAGTGGCATGGTAGCTTTTCATACGTACGAGTCCTTAGTGAGCTGGGTTTTGTAGGGACTGGGGACAGTGTAGCTTCTAAGTGCCTTAGCTTCAGGGGAGGAAGAGTGGGCCAGCTTGGCAAGGGTGTTGACACAGACTTAGAGGACCAGGGGAGGGGGCCTTGGAGAGATGATAGAGACCTGGGTTTGAATTCTGGTCCGTCACGTACTACCTTGGATCCCGGGCCCCTTATGCAGCAGCTCAGTTTCTTCATCTGTGAAATGGAGAGAATGTGTCCCAGAGCCAAAGCATGAAGCTCCTCACCTGGGACATCACAGGGTCCCAGAGACCCTCCCAACTCACTGGCCTGTCTGCCCTCTTCCCCAGGTCATCGATAAGAACTCGGGTGGCTGGTGGTACGTGCAGATCGGTGAGAAGGAGGGCTGGGCGCCCGCGTCTTACATCGACAAGCGCAAGAAGCCCAACCTGAGCCGCCGCACGAGCACCCTGACCCGGCCCAAGGTGCCTCCTCCGGCGCCCCCCAGCAAGCCCAAGGAGGCGGAGGAGGGCCCCGTGGGTGCTGGTGAGAGCCAGGACTCCCCGCGGAAGCTCAAGTATGAGGAGCCTGAGTATGACATCCCGGCGTTCGGCTTCGACTCGGAGCCAGAGCTGAGCGAGGAGCCGGCAGAGGACAAAGCCTCGGGGGACCGGCGGCCAGCCCAGCCCCACAGGCCCTCGCCCGCCTCCTCGCTGCAGCGGGCCCGCTTCAAGGTGGGCGAGTCTTCAGAGGACGTGGCCCTGGAAGAGGAGACAATCTACGAGAACGAGGGCTTCCGGCCATGTGCAGAGGACACGCTGTCAGCCAGGGGCTCCTCTGGGGACAGTGACTCCCCAGGGGGCTCCTCGCTGTCCCTCACCAGGAAAAACTCCCCCAAGTCGGGCTCGCCCAAGTCGTCATCACTCCTGAAGCTCAAGGCAGAGAAGAACGCCCAGGCGGAACTGGGCAAGAACCACTCCTCAGCCTCCTTTTCCTCCATCACCATAAACACCACCTGCTCCTCCTCCTCCTCTTCCTCCTCCTCCTTGTCCAAGAACAGTGGCGACCTGAAGCCCCGCTCGGCCTCGGACGCAGGCATCCGCGGCACTCCCAAGGTCGGGGCGAGGAAGGACGCCGACGTGAAGGCCGGGCTGGCCTGTGCCCGGGCCAAGCCATCGGTCCGGCCCAAGCCCTTCCTGACCCGGGCCGAGTCACAGAGCCAAGAGAAGATGGACATCAGCACTTTACGGCGCCAGCTGAGGCCCACGGGCCAGCTCCGGGGAGGTCTCAGGGGCTCCAAGAGTGAGGACTCCGAGCTGCCCCCACAGACAGCGTCCGAGGGTCCCGATGAGGGGCCCAGGAGAGGCTCGGCTGACCTCATCACCCCCCGGGCTGCCACGCCCCCATGCCCCACCAAGAAGGAAGGGGACGGGCAGGCCACCTCCTATGTGACGTGCAGCGCCTACCAGAAGGTCCAGGACTCGGAGATCAGCTTCCCCGCGGGTGTGGAGGTGCAGGTGCTCGAGAAGCTGGAGAGCGGGTGGTGGTACGTGCGGTTCGGGGAGCTGGAGGGCTGGGCCCCCTCCCACTATTTGGTGCTTGGCGAGAACGAGCAGCCCGACCCCCCTGGCAAGGAGCTGGACGCAGGGACCCCCAAGAGCAAGCCGAACGAGGGCAAGTCCGACAGCCTGGAGAAGGTGGAGAGGCGCGTCCAAGCCCTGAACACAGTCAACCAGAGCAAGCGGGCCACGCCGCCCATCCCCTCCAAGCCGCCCGGGGGCTTCGGCAAGACGGCAGGCGCCGCCGCAGTGAAGATGAGGAATGGCGTGCGGCAGGTGGCCGTCAGGCCCCAGTCGGTGTTTGTGTCCCCGCCACCCAAGGATAACAACCTGTCCTGCGCCCTGCGGAGGAACGAGTCGCTCACGGCCACCGACGGCCTCCGTGGCGTCCGCCGGAACTCCTCCTTCAGCACTGCTCGCTCCGCAGCCGCCGAGGCCAAGGGCCGCCTGGCCGAACGGGCTGCCAGCCAGGGCTCGGACTCTCCCCTGCTGCCCACCCAGCGTAACGGCATCCCGGTGTCCCCCGTGCGCCCCAAGCCCATCGAGAAGTCCCAGTTCATCCACAATAACCTCAAAGATATGTACGTCTCCATCGCGGACTACGAGGGTGACGAGGAGACGGCGGGCTTCCAGGAGGGGGTGTCCATGGAAGTTCTGGAGAGGAACCCCAATGGCTGGTGGTACTGTCAGATCCTGGATGGGGTGAAGCCCTTCAAAGGCTGGGTGCCCTCCAACTACCTTGAGAAGAAGAACTGACGGGGGAGCATAGCGTCCTTCCAGCCTCGGTGTGCCACCGTAGCTGCCACTGGTTGAGTGGTGAGATGAAGACAGAGGGAAAGGAAAGACGGGAGGGGTCAGGGGTGGATAACACAGATCCCTGCAGAATGTGTGACCTCAGAGATGCCTCCTCCAGGCTGTCCCACAGCTGGGAGGTGGGGATGGTGAGGACCCACATTGAGTAGGGAACGGAATGGGCCAGGGAGTCCCGGGTCTGGGACCCAGAGCTGAGAAAGCTGCGACCCACGGGTGCACCTTGGTGACTTTGCTGATGGGCTGCGTGGGAATCCCCAATTGTGCCTTTGCTGCATATCCGGAAAAGACGTCATAGGGGGCCTCCAGCACTCTGTCCCTGCGTGGCACAGTTTTGGTTGCTGGCATCTTGCCACCGGAGATAGCCCTTGTATCATCCTAATCTGTATTTGTGAATTGTGCTGGTTTTCCCGGGACTGCTACTGCCCGCCACAGGTGGGTGCCTTGCTTGGAGGTGTCTCATGGGAGCTCAAGCCTGTTCCTGGGCCAGGCCATTGTCAATGTCTGTTAGTAGAAGAAAAAGCAGTTCCCTGTTGCCAGCAAGGACCACCCTTCATAGCTGTCACTGTCCTGGCCTTGAGAAGACAGCCCCCTTCCTCAAGGCACCCGGCAGAGGACACAGTCAGTACTAGAGTTTATAGAGGGCGCGTGAAGCCGTCAGTCTCCTCATAATCTGCACAGACTCTTGTGGATATTTCCGGGTGGGCGTTTCCTTTGCATGTTTTGTGAGAAGTTTATTGATTTGGGGGTTATATGTCAGGGCTTGGGTTCTGGTCTTATTTTCGGGGTGGTTTGGAGGCCCAAGGATGTTCGGCCTCATATGGGAAAGGGCAGGGTAGTGGACGGGCTTTTCTGTTGTACTCTAGTGGGAGGGCTGTTTGGCTTTTGTTTTTGTTTCACATTCTTTCCCCTCCACAGGCCAAAGTAGTTGCGTTTGGTTTCCACTGTGTGAACAGTGCCCGAGTACGGCACTTACCAGAAGGATCTGGGGCTGCCTGAGCCCCAGGTCGCAGACATGGTGAAGCAGAGAAACTGTTCTTCTGGTTCCTGCCCAACCTCAGTGGGGGGAGCACAAAAACCCTCCCCAGGAAAGAGGGGCATGTCATTCAGGAGCCAGACTCGGGGAGAGGAGGCAGCTTCCGGGCTGCTGGGTGACCGCCATCCTGCGCACGTTCTCCCAGCGGGGCCGGCCACAAGCCTTACGTGTGAACTGTGGAGAAGCAGCCATTGCCTCACCCTGGGCTGAGGGGACCCCAGCTGGGCCCCCTGGGTCAGACTGGAGCCAACACCACCAGCCGCCCCCTTTGGCCTGCTGGCGACACCGCAGGTGCCCAGGAAGATGGAGGATCCTCACACCAGGGGCCACCCTGGTCTTCCCAAGGGGCAGGGCCCCTGTGAAGAGAGAAGCGAGAGAATAAAGTTTCCTGTAGGTCTTCTGTCACCTTTGGGTTGTGTTTTTCAATTGCTGACATTTCAAAGGGGACCCTCCAGAAGCCCAGCCGGCTTCCCAAGGACTCCCCCTTTGCTGGGAGTGGATTTCCACACGTGCCTTTGATTTCGGACGCATCGGGCTTCATGGCCACCAATTCAGCTGCCAGGATTCTGGACCAAGGGCTGGTGTTTTCCATAGGGAAGGAAAGGCCCTCCCACCCCCTGCTCCCACCCAGGCAGGCGGCACGGGACCTAGCGTCTCGGTGGGTCAAGACCCCCACACCCAAGGCCGTGCCTGGGCACCCCCAGCCCTTGCCCCGCCATACACTGATGCAGCTGTAGCAAACTGCTCGTGTTCTCTGTCGAAGGGCCGTGGTGAGATTGTTTTGTTTCCTTTTGTTGGTGAGTTTGTTTAAAACTGAAATTAGTTATTTTCTTCTGCTGGACAGTATTAAATAGAGCAGAATGTTGAGTTAATCTGCTAGACTGCAGTACTAATGGTAGTGGGTTAGTGTCGTCATATTAATATTATTTGTACTTATTTGAACAATAATGATAAAGAAGTGGTTCATTATTTTTTAATTAATGCACTTTAAATAAGGTGGAATGGGAAAAATCCCAGAGAGCAAAGTGCATTACTTAAAGATGCAGTATATACTTTTCTCATTTTTAAACAGCACATATTTATTAAGAGAAAAAAGTAATTTATGATTATTTAAAATAAAATTTAAAAGTAGAGTGACTGTCAGGTTAAAGGACCTTCCACGTCGCTGCCTTCCAGGGGGAGGGCCCCACGCCTCGCTCCTCAGATGTCTGCACTGAGCCAGTTCAGTCACTCGTGCGCCGGCCAGGCCAGGGGGGCGTGCAGAGCATGTCTGCCAAGCACAGAGCATCTCAGTTGGACCGGACCACCATGCTCTCCGGAGCCTGCCCTTCCTGCCCCTCCCCACTGTCTGTACTTCCACCCACACTCCCTGGCCCCCCAAGGACCCCCTCTTCCTGATTCTCAGTGCTCTAAGTGATAGAATCATCAAAAGCCAGGACTGGGAGAGACCTGAGAGGTAGCTCCATCCCATCCGTTCCTGCTACTGTAGCCCAAGGACAGGAAATGACTTTTCCAAAATCACAGAGCTAGTTAATAGCTGATCTCCCCACTTCATTAATCCTGTGCTCCTCCTACCCCCATTATAGTTCATTGTGTGGTCATCATGTTTACATTGAGACATCCAGCCCCAAGGATGGCTGGGAGTTGTTTAGGCATCCAGGAAAAATGGGGAATGCTGCCACCTGGTGACAGCATGTATGTTTGGGCAGTGAACAGGATTGCCATGCCCCAGTCTTCACAGCTCGTCCCCTCGCTATCACCCGCCAACTCACAGCACAGCACAAATCCTTGCAAGCCCAAAGAGAATATTAATACTTGAAGCAAGAAGGGTGCATGCCAGTCCTTCTCACACATGGCCAGGGGATGCCAGGCCTTGTGCCCCTGGACTCCTAGCCCTCCCCAGGGCAAGAGGGCCTTTCCCTAGAGCTACTGAGCTGCTTTGTGATGTTGGAGGGTACTGCTGGCAGCAGGCAGAGGAGGGAGGGGGCCTGTGGCTCTGACCCATCTGGAGGAAAACCAGATCGGACTAAAAAAGGAAAAAGAAAAATGAAATCTCAGCAGTGTCCAAACCTAGTTTTCCATTAGTTGCGATTGAAAATGTGAAATGACATTATATTGCTGTATACTGCAACTTTAATCATAATGAGCCCTTCTGAGGTCATTATTGAGGTTTATATAATGCCCGAAGATGCATCATTTGGTGCTTTGTTTTTCTTTCAGTTTAAAGACCTTTTACTTTTGTCCCAAGAGGAAAAAAATGTTTCTGTCTCTCTCCCATCTTGTCCCTCTTCATAATAGCGGCTGGCCATGTTGCCTGGCTCCCCCATGCCCTGGGACCTTGGGGGGCAAGGAAGAGAGCTGCAGGGGGGCAACCCTGAGTGCCAGGTGTGCCCTGGGGGTTCCCCCCGTGGCCCGTGGCTATGGCTGGGCCGCCTCGCCAGGCCTCAGCCCCGTCCACCCCCAGCCTGGCCCCCAAGGTTTCTCTTTCTTCCTCTTCGGTTTTCCATCTTGACGAAGGCATTATATAGAATCATTTTAATCACTTTCAGATGTTAGAGCAGCATATTTTACTGGCATTTGTATCCATCGCTTTCCTCGGCAAGGCATGTTACTACTTTTATCATTTAAGGAAAAGAGACAAGGGAATTTCAGTCAAGCATTTTCATATTACTAGTATTTGCAGTAGGTGTAGAACTATTTAAGTATAGACGGTTTGGTAGTTTGTTTTTAAGGGGAAAAAGGATAAAATAACCCCTATTTTTCCTGTTTTTGTATTTAACTAATATATTATTTCTTTAAGGTTACTCACTTCCCCCTACCCCTCCGAATACTTTGCATTCTCAATCGAAAATGGAAACAATCCGAGAGACAGGAAAAGTGCAATATTACCAAGACGAGGCCGGGCTCACAGGGCACAGCGGAGGGCGAGCCAGTGGCCATGCTGCAGGTGGCGGGGGGTGGGGAGGGACTGCTGAAAGGACCCTAACTATGGAACGATGGGTGGGTTGGTGGAGTCTGATCTTGTCACCTCCTTCCCCTCTCCCCTTCCCAGAGGGCAGCCCCTTTTCTGTTGGGTGTTGTCCGCCCAGAAGAAAGGGATTCAGGAAAGCAGCATGGGGCTCTTGACCTCCTGGGGCCCCAGTCCCCGGAGCAGAGTGAGGACATCAGGAACCGTTCCTTGTTTTCATTTCCATTGTTTTGCAGCCAGCTGCTCAGAGACCTGACCTAAAAATGACTCCCAGCAGCCCTCTCTCACCCCAGTCTCCTGATGTTTGGGTCATGATCCTTTTGATGTATGTTTGAATCTTTCTAAAACTATGTAACCTCAGTTCAGTTTATGGGCAGGAACCCTAGAGATAACGAAATCCTTTTGTGGGGTGTGGGTGCCATGAGCCCTATAGACCCCAGTGAGACACCAGTTCCCACAAGCCTGCAGCGGGCCTGGGGCTGAGCCTGGGCCACCCGTTCATCTCAATGACTTCAGCCCAAGGAGTGAGCCCTGCCGCTGCTGCGCACCTGGACAGCATGAGACGTTCTCGGAGGGCAGTCCGAGGGGTCTGCTTGGGTCTGTGTAGACAACGTCCCACAACAGGTACCAAGCCGGCCTCCTCCTTCCTTGGCGCCCATAGAGAAAGCAGCAGCGTGGGAAGTCTCTTCTGGGTCCACGCCCTTGGAGCTCTGCCCCGCAGGGTGAGAGGGACGTCCCTGCTGGCTTGTCCCCCCACCTCCAGTACTGTACGCTTGCTGCTCCAACCCCTTATTTGGTGAATTTCTGTACAGATACGGATCTCTCTGCCCATGGTGGGACTGTGCCCCTGTGCGGGTCTCTCCCTCGGAGTATATACATCTATATATTCGATCTTCGAGAATCTTGATGCAGAGTTCTCTGGAAAGAGAACCGTCCACCTCACTAAAGAATTAAGATTCCCTCACTTTTTTGAGGGCTGTATGTTGAGTGTGTGTGTGTGTGTGCGTGCGTGCGCGTGCAGGAGTGTTGGTAATTTCCCACTTGAACTAAGTAACATGGGGTTAGAGAAAAAAGTACCGGGCAAGCTGTCTCCATTGAACAAGTCCTTGGCATTGGGCAGGTCCCAAGGGACTCACAGCTTCTGGCAGCAAGTGTGTGTGTTATTCACACACACATAATTCTGGCTGGAGAGTGCAATGTGTCTTTTTTTTGTTGTTATTATTTTATTAAGTATTTAGTTGGAAACTTCACACTGGCATTAACAGATCTAGCAGAAGCAGCCTAGGCCATCGTCCCGGGCTCCAAAACGAAGAGGTGGAAAAGAGACGCCACTGGGTATGGAAATGCTGTGGAAACGCCGGGGTGGATCAGTGAGGTCACCCACCTGCAGGCGTGCCATCTGGCAGGCTGATTCCCACCCCTTATCCGTGTCACTGGTATGAGAATCCCCATGCAATAAGAGCTGCTGGCCCCTTGGTTCTTGTCTCTGGGCATGGGGCAGGCTGGCTGGGGTGAGAACTTGCCCACGGTGCGCCCAGCAAGGCCTGCACGTGTGTACACATCAACACCTCTGGTCCCGACTGCAGGGCCTGACTGAACACTTCCTGGGAATGGAGGGCTCCCCTGGGCCTCACTGAGCTTTTTGGCTAAATCATCATCCCTGTACGGGGCAGTCTCATGTCTTTGTGGTTCCTGAGCTCCATGACCAGAGCCAGTGAGAGGACAGGGTCAGTGAGCTACAGCTTTGGGGAAAAACAGTCCCTCTGATTTTAACTTCCCTCCTGCTTCGTCCTGCACACCTAGGTCCCCAAGCCATAAGGTGGGCACACTGGTGCTTATAGACTGGGTGGAGGGCTCTACCTTCCAAGGCTTGGTCCCAACCTGCCTATAAGGTTGAGATTTGCATGTGATCCCTCTCCCTAAGCCCATCTTTTAAATCTCAAGTTTGCACTTGGCCTTGACAATCAACACCCTCTCCCATCCCAGTCCTTGAACTTCATGGCCTTATAGAATGGGTCCCCTGCATTGAAGGTCCCTGCCTTGTTCCCAGTTCCATCCTTGCCAACAGGCTGGGGCTCAAGAGATGAGAGAGAAGAATTGTTCTAGAGCGAAAGGATGGATCGAGCATGTTGAAGGCAAGTGAGAGGCATGTTGGCAAGATGAGTGATGAGTGTGTGCATGTTTGGGGGTGGCTGGGGCCTACTGTCCCTTCACTGGGAAGGCGGCTTCCAGAAGAGGATGTCTTCTAGACAGAAAAGCAAAAGGCTGAAAGAGGGTTTGGAGTTTTGTCTTTTTTGATTAGAAGTAAGGAAGAAGTCGATTCTGCGTATTTCAGGGAGAAGAGAGCAGGCAGGAAGGGAGTTTAGTAATTCAACACCCAAGGGTCCAGCCAGAGCAGGTTGGAAAATCCTCCAAATTTGGCCATAGAAGCTGGCTAAAAAAACTGCCACTCATTGGGCCACAAGCGGGGTGCCCAGCAGGTCTCAATGGTTGGTCACTGATTTATGTAGTAGAGGAAGTTACCAGCAACAAACCAATCTTTGAGCTTGGAGGCAGTGTTTCCAGAATGCATCCACCCATCTCCAGGTTCCCAGCTGATTCTGCCCACTTCCCTTTGCCCAATCCAGAGCTGGCCTTTCAAGTTATATGGGTCATGTAGTAAGGACCCATCATCCCCAAACTGGAACCTCAGGGTCCAGGCTCCACCAAGTGTATCTGGGAGGAAGCAAACTCATTTGTGCTTCTGTTGACACCAGTTATTCTCAACGTCTCTAGTGATACCTATGGTGGTTCAGTTTGCTGAGTCAGCCACCCTGGTATGGATTAGACCAGATAAGATGAACATCCATCCATGGATATACCCTTCCATTTTTCAGCAGAACCAAGGCACACTACCCGTTAAGAGTTTATTTCAGAGAAAGAAGGGTGAATGGCCACCATTCTTGAATTTACAGCTTGCTCTGCAACAAGCTTTCTTTAAATCCAGGACACAGGATGGGAAATGGGTTTCCCTGCCAGTGTCCGAGAGGTCTGCAGGAAGTGACTCCTGGGCAAGGGAGATGTGAGTGGAGGTCCCTGAGGGTGCGCGTGTGCACTACATGGTTGGGTGTGGACTGGTGGACGCCTATGGGGCTCCAGAACTTTGGGGGATTCCTCATGGTGTCCACTCAATCCCTCTAAGCTCTTAGTGGGCTCTGTGGAGCCAGGAGGACCCCTTCCAGCTTTTCCCTCTTGGCCCCTCAGCAGAGAAACTGGAGAAAAAGACATTAAGTTCAGTGCAGTCAGTTTGAGTGCTAAAATATTTCCAGGATCAATGGTGGTGCTAAACTATCTCCATGTTTCTAATATTTTTAGTAGTAGAGTTCTGTTTTTTTTTTTTAATCTCATCACACAAATGCAGTGTCCCTGGGGAAGGGAACCAGCCCCTTGGCCTGCCATTTCCCAGGTGTCCTTTATCACTTTGACGGGACTCTATGGTCTGCAGATAATGTTCTGTCTTGGCATGCTTCTAGACTGTAAGATTTGGGTTTTTTTGTTTTGTATTTTGTTTATGTTTACATGCATCTTATATTTCCCTGAAAACTAAATAAAGTTTTTGGCCTTTTTAACTGAACAGACTTACCTCTTAATTCTCCCTGTCACCAGAAAACCCATCCAGCTTAATAGCAGAAGGCCCATTATCCCAAAAGCAGCGTGGACTGGGGATCCCAGCGCCCTCCGGAAGGCCCCCAGAGGCTGGGAGTGGTGGGTAAGTCCCCACTGTTGGTGAGGACTGTGCTCAAGTCCTCCAGATCCTGCCCACCTTCGGGCCTGGCTAGCCCCTCAGCCTGGCCCCCCGACTCTCACCTACCTTAACTGGACTCCAGTGAGCAGGGCAGGGTGGCTCTGGTTGGGGACAGCCCGGGGCTATTCAAGGCCAGGCAGCCAGAGCACCCTCCCAGGTGACGGATGGGTGGGTAGGCGTCCCACGTGCCTCTGAGACCTGGCCTTGCCAAATGAGCACGGCTGCAATGTTGTGCCTACACCTTGGGGCCAGTCTGGCTGCTGCTGCCCACTCTACCTTTTCCAGCCCCCCCAGATGTGCTCAGCACATCTGACAGTTCCTCTAAAGGTCTCCGTCCAGGGCCCCCAATTCTCCCCAGCTACAACACCCATGTGGCGTATACGCCTCTGTGCCCACCAGTGGGAACACAGCTGAACTCCAGCCAGGGTGGGGTCTGTGTCAGGGGAGAGGGAGAAGGCCCTGTTCCCAGGGAGCACCTGCCATTCCCCTGGCGGCCCCTAGGTGGCACTGCCCGCCCCACGAGGGTCTGGTTCGGATCAGCCTCCGGAGGAAGCTAGGACGCCCAGGGCTCCTGTCCCCCCACACCCTGCTCCTCGTAGGCCCAGGGACCCCAGGCCACCAAAAGGGCAATTAACAAGGCCCACCTGGCATTCCGGGCCCTGCTCTCTGAGTCCCAGGTCACGCTCCAGCCCCACTCCAGGGAGTGTTCCCTAATTGTCCCAGCTCACCGCCAGGCCTCAGAGGCCTGCCACTATTCCCACAGGCCAGGCCACACTTCTCAATGGCCCCTCCGTGTCCAGGACACCTGATCACCCCCACGACGGGCACACACACACCGCCCTCCCTCCCGGTCCGCCGCACGCGCAGCACAGCCCTCGGGCTGGTACGAAATCACCTTTATTCACAATCACAGCGACCCGGGTTCACAGAGGAGGAGCAGCGAGCCCTGCACTGACAGACGATGGGCTGATGGCTTCCTCTCCCACCGGCAGGCCCCCGCGCTTGAGACCTTTCTTTGCTCTGGGATGGGACCCTGACAGGGTGGAGCCACTAGCCAGCCCACCCCGCTCCCACAGAAGGGGTGTCCCAGGGTCAGTGCGTGGGGAGCAGAGACCCACAGGGGAATGGTGACTTCTCTTAACGTCCACTGCGAGGCCAGCACAAAGGCTAAGCCTGAGTCCACACCACCCCACAACAGCCCCTCACCGAAGAACGCCCAAGAGTCGCACAGAAAGTCTGCTCCCCTCCCCCAACAACCATTTGACAGAGGCGGGGCTGAGGTTCAGAGGGGCTGTGACCCAGCCAGGGCCACACAACTGGTCAGTGGCCAGGACTAAAACCCCATGCCGTGCCCGTCACGGGGAGAAGCAGTCTCTGAAAGGCGTAAAAAAAAAATTTTTTTAAAAATGCCATCTGATGGAGCAGGGGACTGGGGGCACCCAGGACAGGGCTGGCAGGGCTGAGATGACTGTAACCTAAGAGTAGGTGGGGGCACTCCCTCCCCAGAACCCAGAGGTGCTGGGCGCCAGCCCTTCCCTTCCCAGCGTGCCCACACATGCAGAGCCTTCCCTAGAAACAGGCTCCCTGACCACCGTGACACGGTCCCCCAGTCCCCTTTCCTGGCCCTCGCCCAGCCTGCCTGGAACTCTTCGCATCCCTGTGGGCCACCTGATCTACCTGAGCCAACCATGATGACCCAGCCCAGGCAGGAAGGGCACTTTGTGGCTCTGGGTGATCCACCAGCCCCAGGGCACTAAGGGGCTCAGCTGCCTCTCTGTGAAATGGCTCCAATATGCCAAGAGGCCCCCCAATTTGACTCTTTTTTATGGAGTTCCCATCCATAGTTAGCAGGGTGGCTGTGAGCTGCGGCTGGAGTCCAGGGAGGACACTGACTGGTGACCACCTCCGCTGTCCCCTCTCACCAGGCACCCCACACACCCGGATAGCAGCTCTAGGGGCCCGGGGAATGCAACTCACCCACAAACAAAACCCCCCACACCCACAAACCAAATAAATAAATAAATAAAGGAAAAGGCTGGTCTCAGCCCAGGAAAGCAACTCATCCAACCCGGGGATAACGGATGATGCCTTCCTCGCCTCCCCTTAACCCAGGGCCCTGGCCCCTCCCGGGCATTCTGCAGCCTCTGAGCATCAGCCCAGGCCCAGGACGGCGCTGAGCCGTGGGAGGACAGGTCAGAGGGCAGCTGCACACCTGTTCTTAGAGACCCTGCCCTGACAGACCGCAGCCCACACCAAAGGGCTACCTCCGGGCAACGGGGTCCAGCGAGATGACTGGGGTGGGAAGGCTGTGGCCAGGAAGGGCCACAGAGCCACAGGCCAGCAGAGCCCTCTGCAGCCGTCCATCCACCCATCTGGGTGGGTGCGAGAGAGACATGGCGTGGAGGCTGCAGTTTGCTGGTTGGAAGGATCTGCTGGCCTTCTTACCCTCAGCTGCCAGGCCCAGTGGGCAGGGAAGAAAGGAAAGAGAAGGTGGGCAGAGGTCAGAGTGGGAGACAGCAGCTCAGGAGCTGTCTGCCCAGGGCAGGGCTGCAGTTGAGGAGGTTGTGCACTGTTCAAGGGCTAAAACCCAGTCCACACTCCAATAGCCAAGCCGTGTGACCTGGCCCAGAGCTATGTCTGCCCCAAGGAAGGTATATGTTTTCCAATTCTCGCAAAGGTGCCTTCTAGAAATCTGCCCCAGATGGGGGAGGATTAGAACAGGCTGAGACCCCAGTTTAGCCCCTCAGCATACATGGAAGAGCTGGGTGCAGAGAAGGGAGAGAGAGGGAAAGTACAGCCTCCTCCCTTCCCCTCTGCCCCCTACCTCCCTGCCTGATACTCCCTTTCCCCCAAGACCTTCACGGGCCTCAGTTACCCATATTTAATGGAGAAGGAAAAAGTTTCCAGAACGAGGAAGAGAAAGGGCCCTGCCGGCCTGCCCCCCAGCCAGAGCTGGGCTGAAGTCGGGAGGTGGGTGTGCGGGATGGGCCGCCGCGGCGGGCTAGGAGCTGCGGTAGGTCTTGATGATGTCCTTGATGGGGCGGCGGCAGATGGGGCAGCAGGCGTGCAGGGCCTTCTTGAGGCGCAGGCCACAGGCGTAGCAGAGGCACATGTGACCACACGTGTAGATGACCGTGTCCACCGCGTGTTCATAGCAAATGGTGCACTCATCGCTCCACTGGCCCAGGCCTGGGGTCACTGGCGACTCAGGCAGGCTCACTGGTGAGTTGGGGGCCGTCCCTGGGGACAAGGGGGCACCATCAGGAGGAGATACGGCCCAGTCCAATGCTGGGTCCATGGGAAGAGATCCCAGCCTCTTGTGTCCCCTCCATTTATTGGAACCTGCCTGTCTACCCTGATGACCCAGCTTCCCGGGCACAAAAGGGGCTGAGCTCTGGGCAGCCCCACTTCTAGCCCAGGCCCCAGACCAGGGGCCTTAGTGACTACGAGGCAGTGAGAGGAAAGAAAGGAGGAGGGATGGAGGAAGGAAGGGGACCCCAAATCTCTTAAGGCAAGTCCCTCCTGAGCTGCCCCTTGGCACTTCTCAGCTAGGGGACAGGATGGGATACACCCCAGAAATCCTCCCAACAAGGGTTCACTGAGCCCGGCCCTAACACAGAGGCTGCGTCCTCACCTCAGTCTCACATAGTCACCGTGGAACCGGAGGTGCCAGCGCACTTACCGCCAGCAGAGCTTCCCAGCGGTCCAGAGCTGCATGTGCTGAGCAAGGGGTCAGAGAGGCGGCTGCCCAGGGCGCTGGGCGAGGTTGGCGTGGAGGCAGGGGAGCAGGGGAGTGACGGGACGCCCCGCTCTGCCAGGATGGTGGAGCCTGCGAAAGGGGAGGGAGGGAGGACACACTAGCCACCTGGAGGCCTGACCCGAGAAAGCTCCACCCCTCACCAGTGGCTTCCCAGGGGCCTGACCACACAGCACAGCCACTGGGCTGAGCAGGATTCCACAGGCTGGCATGGCACCCAGCCCAGCCCCTGTTCTCATCTACAGGCTGGAGGGCCACCTCCTGCTGGGGTCTTGCCACATCAGCAGTCTCCACACTAGCCCCTGCCTGGAACCCTCTGTCTGCCCCTCCCCAGACCCCTCCGCCTTCAAAGGTTCCGAGGCCAGAGAACAAACTCACCACCTCCCCTCCTCCTCGCCTCACCCTCCTGTTCAGAACTCTGTGCTCTGCATTGCTGTCCCCAGATATCACCCACCTTCTCTGCAGGGTACCTCTGAAATGCCTTCACCTCCCCAGCCCACACCTGTTCTGGTCCTGCATTCTTTCTTTCCCGCCTTCCTTCCCTCACACCTCTCCTTCCCCTCCTTCCCCCCTTCTCCCTTCAACAAATCCTTTCTGAGGGCCTACCAGCTGCCAGGCACCATGCATACATAAAGCTGGGGACAGAGCCCTTGCCCTCAACGAGCTGACTGTCCAGGGAGCCTTTTGGGGCTGTCCTCAAACTCCCTTCTCTGGGCTGCCTCAACTGCCCCTAGACTACACTACTCCGTCTAGCACTGACCAGCTGCACACACTATAGCCCCAGGACTAAATAACCACAAAGCCTGGAATATCATTTGTTCTTTGCCCAGGGATCCAGCTTCGTTTCTCCAGGTGAGCTCAGATTCACCATGAGCTTTCTGAGAACAGGAAATCTTACTCACCTGCAACTCTCCCACAGGCCCTCACATAATGCCCTGCACACAAGTAGGTGCTCAATGAGATCTTTTTTCTTTATGTTATTAGTCCTAAGTCATTTATAGTGTTATTATTTCTAAGAACATTCAGTAGGTACCCATAGGGTTTCTCTTACTGTATTAATATTTTTCAAGTTAATTATCATCTCCTCCTTTTAGAAATTCATACCTCCTATTTACTTTTCTTGCCTTATTGCACTAGCTAGTGTTTTCAGAACAAATGTCTGTAAGGCATCCCTATCATTTTCCTGACTTTAATGAGAATATTTCTAATGTTTCACCAATAAGTATGAAATTGCCTGTAGGTTTTGTGATACAGATTAGTGAAGGATACAGCCTTCCATTCTTAGTTGACTTAGGACACGCACAAAGCCAAGCATTCCCCTATAAGGTAAATAATAACCCTCCACACATTTTCACTGGTTTGTTTTTCCTTTCAAGTCAGTCAGGATCCCCTAACACCAACTTGTTGGTTGAGATGCCCAATTCTCCAAACAGCTTAGGAGCATTCTGTTTAAGAAATATTGAATTCTGGATGGGTCTTTTTCTTTTTTTTTTTTTTTTAAGAGATGGGGTCTCATTATGTTGCCCAAGCTGGTCTTGAACTCCTGGCCTCAAGAAATCCTCCCTCCTCAGCCTCCCAAAGTGCTGGGATTACAGGCATGAGCCACCACGTCCAGCCCTTGGACAGATATTCTTTAACGCCTACCTTGGCTCACCTACCTCTTGGGACAGATAAGTCCTGATTTTTTTTTCAAGTCTTCCTTTTGCTCTAGTCTAGTAAACCTCTTTGGGCAACAGAAGCCTTACTGGAAAGCTGCTTAGCTATTATTAGATGGTGCTGATGCAAGAGGGTACCTTGCCCTTATGTAATTTCCTTTCTCTGAGAAGCAGCGTCTCCTGGTGAGTGCAGCCAAGTATCTTTTTACCTCAGCTTGATTTTTTTTTTTTTGGCACCCCAGTCCAATCTCCTTTTATTCCATCCTGAATTCTCACCCCAGCCTGATTCATCTTCCTTCCTTCTTGAGTTCCTCTAACCTGATTTCTTTTCATTCCTTTCTGATTTAGCTTCCCTCGATCCCAACTTCTTAGCACCCCAGCCTCATTTCTCTTCATCCCTTTTTCATTCATTTTTCACTTCATCTTGATTTGATCGCTTGCCAGAGTTGGAAGTCCCGGTTGACCTTATATGATTTCACAAACTCTCCCACGCTCTCACAATCACCAACAGCATTACATACACAAACACACGTGTATTTAGTTATTCACAACCTACACAGGTTTGCATGCCAATCTTAGAGTAGCTCATGCTCACTCACATACACACATTATCTTACCCATCAAGCCTACCGGGCTGAGGTCTAGGCCACGGGCTGTGAGGCCCAGGGGTCTCCAAACTTGGGTAAGCATGCTTGCTAACAAAAAAAAATTCAGATGTCCAGAACCTACCCAAGATCTACAGAAGTGGAATCTCTGGAGGTGGGATCCAAGAATCTGCACTTTAATAGGTTCTCCAGGTGAGTCTAATGAAACCAGCCCACTCTAACACAGCTGGTTCAAAGATCAGCACTTGGAAAGCATGAATACCTGCTCACTCTCAGGGAACAGAGATCCCAGGAGAGGCTTTTTTTTACTTCTGGTCAAATGATTAATAGTTTAGAAAAGCTACACCATAACCACCACCACCCCCTCCTTAAAGATTCACAATGCCTATTAAAGGCTCTGAGAAGTTCTGCAATAAAGAATTCTCCTCCTCCCCACCCCACTCCCCAAGCCTTTTAAATTCAATGTTTCCCAAACTTTTTTTAACCACAAGGACTCTTTTTCAAAGGACACCTATATCCAGCGCAACAATCTGGTAAACGTGGCTTAACCAAGTCCACATTTCCCAAGTCCATTCCAACGCTCTGTCCCCCAAAAAAGGCACTCTGCAACCCACTTCCCCCAAGGCTACCTGCTCAGAGATTCCCACAGCCCCGAAACCCTGGCACCACCCTGCACACTGATTCACCCACATTTTTCTCATTTAGCCTCACAACTATCCCTGGAGGTGGGGACCTGTATTTAAATCCATTTTGGAGAAATAGAAACCGAGCCTCGAGAAGTTATTACGTAACTGCTGGGGAAAACGATTTTTCTCCATTTTTAAGTGGCCACTGGGGTACGTGTATAGGGGTGGTTTATTTATCTGTGGGACTGTGGGTTGATCGGATTTGGGTGTCAAACTCAATAATCCAAGCTTTCCTCACCCTCCCAGGGCGAGTCTTCCTGACAAGTGAGGGCCACGGACTGGAAGATCAAGTCCTGCCCAGAGCTCACCTTTGGTGCGACTCTTTGGCGACACTATAGCGAGATTGGGGCGAGGCGGGGGGGTGTGAGGCACGAGGAGTGAGAAGTGGGCGCCCCCTCGTGGTACCCCCTCCGCAGCACCCCGCCCCGGGAGAGGCGGGCCCGGGACGAGGAGGAGGGCGGCGGGGCGCGGCACTCACCGAGGATGCGGATCTGCGTGACGGCGCCGTGCAGGCCGAAGAGCATCCAGAGCGGCTGCGAGGCGTCCACGCACAGCTGCATGCCGCCGGCCGCGCCGTTGTGGCTGAGGTGCAGCTCGCCGTCGGCGTTCACCACCAGGCCCAGGATGTCGCCGCTGTGCAGGGGCCCGGGCACGCGGCACACGGCCCAGAACTCCTTGCGGTCCACCAGGGCCTCGGGGCTAAAGGGCAGGTCCGCGGGCCGCAGCGAGCCCGGGTCGCACGTGGTGACGCCCACGGACAACGCGCCGGGCCGCACGCCGCCCGAGCGCGTGACCTTGACGAAGATGGTCTCGGCCACGCGCACCGGCCGGCTGGTGAAGACGAGCGCGCGCTCGTCGCGCCCGTGCTCCAGGCGCGCCACCGTCTGCTCGTCGAGGATGCGGACGTGCGCGCCGGCGCGCAGCGCGTGGAAGCGGAGGTCGCCGTCGAGCTGCGCGGGCAGCGCGCGGCTGTGCTGCGAGTTGAGCGAGTTCTGCGGGATGGGGCAGCCGGCGGCTGGCGCGCCGTCGTCGCCGTCGGCGCCCGGCACGTTGAGGTCGCACAGGCTCACCGAGAGGCGCGCCTCGTCCGCGTCGCGCCGCAGCGACGGCCTCCGCAGTGCGGTGAAGGAGCGCGGCCGTAGGCAGTCGGGCAGCACCAGCTCGCTGTCTGCGCGGGAGAGACACGGCGCGTCACGCCAGGCTCCCGGCGGCGCGCGGTGGCCCTGCCTTCTAACGCTTGCTGGTTTCTAGAGTGCACCTTAAAATGCCCAGTGTTTTTCCTGCCATAGAAAATGCTCGCGACAGTAACGCGCAAGTCTGTTTAAAGAAGGGAATAAGGCTGGACGGAAAAACACCCAAATTAAAACCATGTAATTGCTTCTAAATGCTCAGGAGCTTATGGGCGCTTTCTTTGTACGTATGTGTATCTTCCTTATTTTCTACAGCAAGTGTGTATTATACTTTTGTGAATTTTCAAAAAATGTTTACCTCTGGGGCCCTCCCCTCTTATCCCCAGCACCTAGAACAGGGCTGAGCACTCAGGAGACAAACAGTAAATGTCTGTCCCATGCACTGATGACAGCCTAAGGGACCCCCCGCAACCCCGCTTTTCCTAAATCATCTAATCCTAACCGTTACCTTCTGAGGTTACCATTGCCACACAAGGACACTGAGGCTGAGAGAAGTTAAGTACATTTATCCAAGATACC